CACTATGCCTGAGCAGATCTCGCTCACTGACCAAGCCGCCAGTTCGACGTTCTTCCAAGTCAGGTCGGCATCGACGCTGAGGTACGGAATGCGGATGATGGAGATAGAGACGGTGCTGGATGGGGCAGGTGTTAGTCAAAGAGGGAACTCAGACGAGACTGCATGACTTACAAGAATCCAAGACAAAAGATGCCGAGGAGAACGATCTTATGGCCCTTGGCTAAGTTGAGTTTGCTGATGACCGGCAGCGGGAGCACAAACACGATGATGTCGGTCGTGATGTTGCCAGCTGCATTGACGTACCATCGTGGGTAGTTTGGCAGGCAATGTCCAGGGGTGTCGGGGATCCAGTATTTCTTAATCGGCGCACAGGAGAACGTTTCAACGAGGATGACGGCGACGCACCATCCTACGACGATGACAGTGGCTGTGATCAAGACCTTGCGGTACCGACCGATGGCTAGAACACGCCAGTATTGAATCAGAAAGGTCACTTTGACGGCCATGAGACCGGCGTTGTAGAAGATGACGACAAAGTAGATGAGCTGGGGTTTGTGGTCAGTGGCTGGTGAGCACATGAATGACGGCGTCCGCTCAACTCACTTGGACGTAGTTTTGGATGTCCATCGGGGCCAGATAGTAGATGTGCCTGCCGTGGCCATACTTGACGTCTTCAAGTGTCAATCATAAGATTCAATGGTTTCGATCAGGGAAGAACTCACTGTACAACATGCAGAAGCCGCAGGCAAAAGCCATTAACTAGATGGCGCTGTCAGCGTCGAATCCATTCCCTCCAATGGGCAAGACGTACAAACGAGATGACTGCCGCATAGTCGTCCCACCCGACGTTCTTAAGGACGAATATCCGGGTATAGAGCCGTAGAAAGACGGCCAAAAGTGCCAGACCGAGGACAGTTGCGGTCACTGCAATGGAGATAGTGGCCCTTGACACGTCAGGTTCCAGGAGAAGCGGTGCGTCCATCTTGCTGTACAGAGGGCGAGCACTCTCGATGGATTCGGAGGACTCGGGGCGTGAGAAAGATCGAAAATTGAGCCTTCAACAGAACACCAACCTGCAAGCACGCCGAGAGCTGGAGGTTTATCTACCATGGCGAATCGTCCGGACATTTCGAATAGACTTTCGTAGCGTAGCGCCCGTCGATCCGAGCGTCCAGAATCTCATGACCCCTTGACTCGCTGCAACCTTTGGAGGTGGGCGATTGGTGTTGTTGCGATGAGTGTGGCCAACATGGCGGCGACATTGGGTGAAGGCCGAGCGTGTCACCAGCAGCTGGCGGCCCTGAGTGGTCTGATGCTCGGGGCCTCTCGCGGCTCGAGGAGATCCGGAAGGTAACCTGGTTTGTCAAACGTGGGCTGAAGGTGAGGGTCCCAGCGTGCTTAAGGCTGGCCCTGGCTGGGGTGCCCTTGGGGGGCGAGCCGGTCGCCGGCCGAAACGCGGGGGCGACTCCTGATTCGGTCGTCTGTGCGATGAGGTCAGGGTCAGAGTCAGGGTCAACATGTGGTCGGTATGGAGGCAAAAAGGTGAAGGCGAGGGAGCTCGTGCCTTGAAGATAAAGCTTTGGTAGAAGAGAGGTGTCTGCTTCTGTGAATTGCTGTGCGAGTTTGGTGATGGTTGGCGTCTGGTTGCGCCAGTGGCACGTTGAATTGGAGACTATGATATGAGGTGTGATCAGACCGGGCGCGCGTTGATGAGCTGGCTGCGCTGATCAGCTTGTCTTGTTGATGAGCTGAATGAGTGGATGAACTGGTAATATCGACAGACTTATCGTATTGATGAGCTGGTCATAATTGATTTCCATGATGTACCTATGGAAGTACATGCCATCCCGATGGACAGGCGATGTTGGACATGTTGTATTGATGATTCAAGTGGTAGACGATACGGGGTTCTTATGACATGGTATGCGCTTTTAGAGACTCCACTTCCAGGCGCAACCCAAGCCTGGAACCCCTGGGCCCCGCGATTTCTGACATCCTCGCGGCATGAAGCTTTAGCGTGACGGGCGACGCGACACGTCGCAGCCCATGATCGAGGTCGGAAAACTCGTACCTCCATATCCAGTCAGCTACCAGCAATCCCATTCATCCGTATCCTCCAGCAAGATGTCATCCTTCTACCTTCCCCCGGAGCTTTAGCTCAACGTCGCCGAGTCAATGTGCTATCACTGCACCCGCGATCCTCGCCAGCCGTCCCCAGTGCCCGATCACCGCCTGCACCCCGAGCTCCCCAAGCTTGCACCTTTGGCCACCCTCGCCCGACTATGCCGCGTCTCCAAGCAGCTTCGAGACATAGCCACCCCAGTCTTATACCACTGCCCGATCACCACGAGGCCGGAGCTACTCGTTCGGACCATTTTCGACCGTTTCGATCTTGCCGGGCACATCCTCGAAATGCACCACAGCATGTGGCAGAATTGGCCGCTCGGACTCGCATCGTACCCACTAGAGTTCCAAGATGCGTACTACAAAAAGATCACTCGCCTCATGAACGAACGCTACGGATTGCTCGACGGAGCCGAATTCCAGTCTTACGAGAAGTCGCTCGAATGTAATACGATCGAAGACCTCGTCAAAGATACGGTCATTTTGGAGGAGCTCTTCTGCGTTACAGCCATCTCTCTGAAGGCGGTATATCGTTCTGTCTGCATGGGAATCGATCCGGATGCCCTTCAAAGTCTTGAGTTTGCCTCCATCACCAACGTGGACGGATATGTCGAAGACGCCGAAGTCGACATTCAGGCCTGCACCGGCTCATGGTTGCACAGCGTTGCACATGATATGACATCAATGCATTACTCCCAGGCTGTGATCGATCAGCCCGACGGAAAGTTTCTAGGGTCCCCAGAACTGACCACCTTGGAGCTTCAAGACTGCAACCTTTCAGCCTTGGCTTTGCTCCACGTCCTCGTCTCGAATCCACCTTCGCCTACAGCGACGGCGGTTTAATCACTGACCAAGACGTCGAGTCTGCCACCGTTCAAGAACTACGGGAGGCCCTGGTCGTATGCAATCCTCGCCTCAAGAAACTACATATCGATCAGGGCGAAACCAGCCATATGTACTGGACCCGAGAACACAGCTTCGACCAGTCACTTGCAGAGCTGACACAGCTCATCCACCTTTCCGTCGATCATGGATGCCTAACAAAGGGGACTGGACAAACACTATCGGAGTACCTGGTTTCTGGTCTCCCGGCGTCCCTGCAGTATCTGAGGATTAGACTGGATATGGACATGGAGGAAGACCCAGACAGAGAAGAAGATCTCCGACAGGCGCTACTTGCTGTGGCTCGACTGCGTCCAGCTGTCCTCCCAGATATGGAGAAAATTGTCATCTAGGACAAGCATTTAAACCCGAGTACGAAGCCATACTCTGTTTGGGATCCGGTGAGAGATGCATGGGAGCGCACGGGGGTCGTCTTCAAGGTAAAGCTGTTGAAGGATTGTTTGGGTGCCGTTGGTTTTTAGGGGCTTGCTTTGCCGATGTGTATCGCTACCTACTAGAGTGTGCTGCCATATACCGTGGGTTCCACGTCCTAGAGTCCTGTAGGAATGATTTCGTCAACAATTGAGGCGGGCTCGCGCAGCCCACGACGTCACCGTCCTGAAACCAGTCTGCGAGATGATGGGCCAGACATGTAGTCGACGACTCGTTTCAATCAACTGCTGTAGTCAATCAAGAGGCAGAGTCAACCGAGTAGTCGCAAGCAGGTCGACGGGTAGAAAAACCTCACTAAAATCGGTAACACCCAGTACGAGGATCCATATATTTAGGTTGCGCTCAGCAATATCGTGAGGTGCGACAGCCAGCCTCTGTACATGACTAGGTACATGTGCAGCCTGCTGAAGAAGAGCAAGAATCGACTGGCCGAGACCCAATTTCTCAAGCCGGACAGCCTCACCTCTCGCTGCAGAACCTGCATGTGAAGTGAGGGGTTGCATTCTCGTCAATCCTACAGCCTGATGTGGAGAGCCCCTCCCTTTTGCTGCAGATCATAATCATCGCGAACCCCTCTCTCCCCTTTCCATTTTCTGCTCACGTTCCGGCTTCTCTTCAATCTTCGAAATTGACAGTCGAGCCAGTTCTTGCAGCGTGAAACCCATCATCGATCACAGTCTGCAACATGGATGCCACAAATGGGAACGCCTCCCATCTCCCACTTCTGGGGAAAACTGCCCTCGTCACTGGTTCAGCGCGCGGAATAGGCGCTGGGATCGCATGGAAGCTGGCCTGCGATGGGGCAAACGTAGGTAGCACCCTGAATCGCAGTGTCAGACACACTGGCAAGGAAATGTGAGCTCACTGATACCCCTTCAGATTGTCCTGCATCACTTGAGCGAGTCGAGCAACGAAAAGGCCCAGGAGCTCGCCAGCCGCATCAAATCTCTCCCTCACAAGCCATGGGTCCACATCATCCGCATCGACATCGCCTCTACCACTGGTCCAGCCGACATCATCGCAAACCTCAAGGAGAGCTTTCCCGAGCTGGCAATTGACATTCTCGTCAACAACGCAGGAATCGCTCCTCCAGCCGCGCTCCCTGACATCACTCCAGAACATTTCTCCTCCATCATCGCCACCAATCTCCAAGCCCCGCTCCTCATGATTCAAGCTGCTGCGGGAGACGGAGCATAAGATCCCTGGGATCATTGATTCCATCTGCTCCCGGACGCCTCTGCAGAATAGGGTCGGGACAGTCGAGGAGTTTGCGTCCATCGTCGCCTGGCTGTGCAGGCCTGAAGCGGGATGGATGACTGGGCAAACCATCAGCGCGACGGGTGGCCAAGCCATGTACTGAGATCAATGTCACTCATAGAACTTGGTCGAACTGATGGGTATTTGATTTCCTGCGTGTTTTTGCGTTGAACCCTCATCTCAAATGAGATGCCGCGATGCTATGGATGTTTCAGGGACATCTGGACGCCGCTTTGCTTTGACAGACTCCATACACTCCGCTACCATTCGAAACCTCATCGAATGGCAAGGTGGCCGAGTGGTTAAGGCGATAGACTCGAACTAACCTGATCCGTCAGGCAAACTCGGCTATCTATTGGGTTCGCCCGCGTAGGTTCAAATCCTGCCCTTGTCGGTTTCTACAGACAACCCAGCTCAGCTGGGATTAATTTTTGCCGCTTGCACCACCATCAATCACGCCGCCCTTCTCGTCGTGGACTTCTTCTTTTCATCTTCGTTGCATCACTATCCTTCATGTAGACTGTTCAATTTCTTTATCGCTTTGCTTCTACTTCACGCCTCCGTCGCTTCGTTGACCTCTGTCTTAATCAACAAGACTCCCTTGCCCGGCAGCCCGTCCTTGTCCATCACCCTGACGAAGCGATACCCCGTCCGCAGCCTGCCCAAGCGAATGCACGCCCATGCTACCATCTCATCCGGCCCTGGCACATCATTCATGACCACCAGCGACAGGAATGTCAGCTCGGGGACCACTCCCCCAATGTCGACAAAGTCAATCGCGTCGCCCCCGAAATCCGGACTCGTGCCCTTGCTCCTTCTCGTCTCGCCCCGATACCCAACCTGCCGGACCTGCTCTGGATCTGCATCATCACCAACCATGGCTGCCAGCGCATCCGATTCCATGTGCAGCCCAACCTTGACGTAGGGCGTGAACCTGGTCGCGTTGCTGGCCTTGATAGGAAGGTTCTGTCCCGCCAACACCGTGATGACCATTTTGTCGAGTCTGTTGCTCGGGATGCAGGGCACATCTCCCGCACTGCCTGTGCTTCGATACCCCTCCGGTTTGAGGACGTATCCATCAGATCCGGCGAACATTCCCTCGTTGAGCATCATGCCCGTGTCCCATGACTGCCAATTGAGGGCGACCACCTGGGCTCCTGCCCTCCAGAAGATGACAGGGTCAAAGTTTGACGAGTCGACGCGCATGCCGTGCGGGTAGGTCCGCATGAGGAAGTCCCTGTTGTGCGCGAAGACGGCCGCTGGCATCTGTCGCTGGACGTCAAGGGCTCTCTTTTCAGAGAGAGAGAAGATGTGATTCGGCATGGTCGCCTCGGGCTGGCCGAGGGACTTGAACGTGACGCCGCGGGTGTGGATTCCAAGACGACTGAGGCGAGGTGTGATCTTTGGGGCTTTGACTTTCTTCGTCTTCGTCTTGCCGCCCTCCTCGACGACTTCGTACATGCTGTCGCTGTCTTGTGGGACTGATGCAATGCTGGATGCATCGCTCATCTCAGGGACATACTTGACCTTGATGAGAATCTTCCTCCGGAGGTCGTCGGGGGAAGGCAGAGACGTTGGGTCTGTCTCGGGTGCAGGCAGAAGGTACTCGGCCCAGAGCTCCTCCATGATGTCGACCATGGCGTCTTGCTGCTTTGCAGAGCAGTGTACTTCCAAACTGACGATGAGAGGCAGCTCAGAGATTGTGAAAGCGTTCTCCTTGACGACCCGACACACGTCTCGGAAGAGGACCTCCTTGGTAAGAGTAAAGCCGTGGAGAACGCGAGGCTCCGGCTTGATCACAGCCTGGACTGATTCATCATACTCCCTCATCTTCTCCTCGTCGCCCTTGTGCTCGAATTTGTTCATGGCCCAGCGAGCAGCCTTGACCATCATTCGGCCCTTGAATCCCATTCGTTCTCTGGCCGGCGGGTCGTCGTCGTTACCACCTTCGTTCGGCTCATGAGCCCAGTACTCTTCACCGTCCCAAACATCAATTTCAATGCATCGACAGCCGCGAAGAAGTACATCCTTGTATGTCTCTGCACTTGAGTCGCTGGAGAGCTGGTTGCCGGTGAGGTAGGTGTTGTGACTGGAGCTGATGAAGTAGTTGCTCAGAGGCCAAGTGAGATCCTGGGGTGTTGCCATTTCGAGGGCATTGCCGGCGGGTGAGGTGAGGTACTTGATCAGCTCAAAGAGGTCAACCTCATCTTTTTCGGTCAGATATCCGGCGAGGCCATCGGGATTCTCTCCCTGGATGTACTGCATGAAGATGCCGACCTGGGCTTTGGACCACATGTTGCTCGGGCCTGCATATTTGTTGAATAACCAGGAAATGTGGCCGATTAGTGACTCGCTGAGCTGCTCCTTGATGCCTGTTCGTTGGCCGCTGGGATGCCCACCGCCGGCTTTGTACTGTTGGAGGGGAAATTCGGTCATTGTCGGGCGACTGGTAGTGGATGATGGTGACATGGAGGGCTGCATGGGAAATGGCCAATATGCGTCCGCTGTCTTAAAGTCAGTTTGCAGTGAAGCTTTTTTGCTCGATCGTGGGGCTTGCGCTTTCAGGCCGCGTAAGTGGCCAAGGGGTAGTCCAGCGGCGTGCCCGAGAAGATGGTAGGAAGACCCCTGGAATATCGGGGTACAGCCAATAGCGGATCTTTGACGCGGCCACAATTTGTCTAGATGGCGGTCAAATGGGATGCCAAGCAGTCTATTCGCGTAATTGAAGGTCGAATGCCCCGTTTTGCTGGAATCGTGTAGGGCTGACGATGGGGTCACGATGCCGTTTGCCGAGTGCCGAGGCCGGAAGACCCCTATTTGGGTTGGAGCCTCTTGAAGCCAATATGGTATTTGGCACTCAGCCCGTACCAGGAAGCAATGCCATGCTGTTTTGACTCCGTTTTTGCCAGAACCCCCGGTGAGAGGCCTCAGTCTTGGCAGACAGGCACCAGGTACCGCCCTGTTGAAGACCTAGAAGAATACGACGGAAGCCGAATCTAGTCACAGTGCGGAGCCGCCTTTCGGCATCAATACTCACCGGATGGAGCGTTGGATTCGAAGTTGGATATATCGCCCCATGTGATTCGATTTCAATGTATGTAGAGCCGGAGACTGCAGACTTTAGACCCCGGAGCTAGTGCATCTCTTGGTGTTGACGAGAGCTTGAAGTTTGCCTGGACCATTCACCCCACCAACGCCAGGACATCTCCACCAGATTGCTGTGCAGTTTGGCGGGGATGGCGCACGAGACCCCAGCCAGGATTGGACCCTGGACGAGCTTCACGTTCAATTGATCCGACCCAACAAGCTGGACGCATGCCAATTGCAATTGAGTCGGCAATCCTGCTCCCGAGAGAAGAGACTTATACCCCTCCAGCTTGTCTGCCGCACGCCCGCACGAAGCGATCGTCGGAAGCCGGGTGACGCAGGCGCGGGGTTGGTTTCGTCTGCCCCTCCCCCTTTTCGACCCCTCTTCGTGGTCTCGCCCAACCGCCGCGGGATGCCACGGCCACCACCAGCCAACGACAATCGCGCAATTCCCACCGGATGCTTCCGTCTCATCATCCATTCGTCATCTCATGCATATTGCTGAGGGATAAACGGCTTTTGTCGGGATAATCGATAGCTTCCCCGCTCCGGTCCTCGCGGGCTGAAGTGGGGGCAGCCGGATATAAAACACCACCAGCTTTCCATTGCCGACCATCTTCCTCTCTCCCTCTATCAATCCGACTTGTCCGATTACCAACATCTTCAAACAAACACCATTCGTATGCAGGAAGAAAATCTTCCATCCTCCCTTCCCTGTCACCCTGGTTAACCAGACTCTAACCTCCTGATACCCAGCACACCACTTCGGTACGCACCTCTCGGCTTCAAGCCAGGAGAGAGCGATGATCAATCACGGGTTATCCGTCGAGCGCTCCGGCTCCGTGCCGTGAAGTAGCCTTCGAGTTCAAATCTTGCAAAGAGATGTATCAGGTATTCTATGAAAGGATGCATGAGCCGGTGTTCGAGCTTCGCATCCCGTCCGAAAGTCCCCATCCAACCCTCCCATCACCGGCGAGGGAGATGAGGGCCCACGACGGGATTCACATGCGAGCTTGTTCTGAGATTACACGGCCCCAATGAACTTGATCTGGATAATACCAGCGAAAGGATCATGCTCTGAACTCCTCCCCCCTCCCGGGGCTTCGTGAACCTCTAACACGCCCAGCAGATTCAACCCACCATCCATCAAAATGGCCCCCTCCGCTACCCAGGCTGTCGCCCCCGCCGTCCTCCCTCACAAGGGAACCGTCGCCCTGACCAAGGATGACGGCGCCGTCCAGCCCGTCTCCGACAACCTCCGCGTCGACAGCTGGGAGGATTTCTCCTTCCAGCCTATCCGCGAGTCCCAGGTCGCCCGTACCATGGCCCGTCGGTACTTCTCCGACCTTGACACCTACGCCGAGTCGGACATTGTTATCATCGGCGCCGGCAGCTGCGGCCTCAGCGCCGCCTACTGCCTGGCCAAGCAGCGCCCCGACCTCAAGATCGCCATCATCGAAGCCAGCGTCTCCCCCGGCGGCGGCGCCTGGCTCGGCGGCCAGCTCTTCAGCGCCATGGTCATGCGCAAGCCCGCTGACCGCTTCCTCAACGAGATTGGCGTCCCCTTTGACGACGAGGGTGGCTCCTTCGTTGTTGTCAAGCACGCTGCCCTCTTCACCTCGACCATCCTCTCTCGCGTCCTGGCTTTCCCCAACGTCAAGCTCTTCAACGCCACTGCCGTAGAGGATCTCATCACTCGCCCCGACCCTGAGAGCCCCTCGGGCATCCGCGTCGCAGGAGTCGTGACCAACTGGACCCTCGTGTCTCTCAACCACGACACCCAGTCATGCATGGACCCCAACACCATCAACGCCCCCGTGATCATCAGCACCACTGGCCACGATGGCCCATTCGGCGCTTTCACCGCCAAGCGTCTCGTGTCCATGCAGGCTGTTGACAAGCTCGACGGCATGCGCGGCCTGGACATGAACAGCGCCGAGGACGCCATCGTCAAGAACACCCGTGAGATCATCCCTGGTGTCATCGTTGGCGGCATGGAGCTATCTGAGCTCGGAGGACACAACCGCATGGGACCGACGTTTGGTGCCATGGCCATGTCTGGTGTCAAGGCTGCGGAGGAGGCTCTCAAGATCTTCGATGTTCGCAAGAAGCAAAACGCCGTCTAGGTCAGACCTGGCATTTGGAAGGAGATCTGGGGCACATGAGACTGGAACACGGCAGTAACACGGCCAATATACAACACATTCATTTACAACTGTCGCTTCAAATGGACGTCATGAGGAAGAACTTATGAAAGTGTCCAGGTGCTGATGGAGGAGTTTGACGCTGGCAACTGAACTAATCAAG